TAAACAGAAGAAGACCAGAAGTATATATAACAGCAGACTGTCAAGTTTGTCAAGAGGGTAAAATAGAAACTCAAGCATATATGGCAAGTTGCAACAAACAAAGAAGTCTGTGGAAACGAATCCAAAAAGTGTCAGCAGCAATAGCATGGAATGGTCTCAAAGAAAGAGAAAAAGACAGAATTCCACCACAAGTGCTATATATGACACTTTTTAGAAAAACAGAGGAAGAACAAATTGAGAACAGAAAAGCACTAATAAAAGGACTCACAACACTCAAGGTTAAAAAAAGAATCGAACAATTGTTAAACAAAAATGCAATATAAAAATGTATAGATATAGTAACTAGAACAGTATGGAACACCTTTTATGACCAAGTGTGAAGAGTTCAATGTGAAAGAGTACAAAAATGGGAAAAGAGCTCTAATATAATAAATAGAATAAAAAAAAATGATAGAGAGAAAAAAAGATCAAAAGGAAAGAAGATAGAAAGTAAAATATCAAAAGAAGATGAGAAAAGAAAGAAAACAGAAAAAGAAAAATGAATGAAGAATAAAGCATTAAAGACAATTGATATGCTTGTCACAGAAGGAAGAAGACCCTTCTGGTATGGCTTTAAGTAGTTAAACGAGCAGTCTATCTCTAACTGAGATAATGCAGCAGGTTGCACTTAGGTACCATTAGGGTGACCGAGTAATGCTAAACTTAAGTATTAGGAAATTCTATGTAATTATGTATGTATATAGTTTCAAGAATCTTAATAAAGTATTAGTGTAACTGCTTAAGGTTTAAAAAAAAAAAATTAATAATTATTAAAAAAATTAGATTAAAAGATTAAACTATAAAAGTTTTGTTTTTATTAATTTTTGAACTAATTATTAATTAAATTATATAAAACTTATAAAGTAAATAGAGAAAACCTTTTTCTATAAAATAATAAAATATCATTAAAATTTAATTAATAGTTATTAAAATATTTATACAAAAACACAAACACTTATTAAATTTATCAAAATTTTAAAAATAAAATTAAATAATTTGCTAATTATACAAGTATAAAATTTAAAAATAATATAACATAATTATTAAGAAATAAGAATTCATATAAACAAATCAAAGATATAAATTAATTAGTAAGTTTTTGAGTTATAAACCAAGTTCTTAGGTGTAAAAATATTTTTGTCACTAATCTGTATTATAATAAAATTTTCAATTATTATATTATTTTAAAAAAATATACTTATATATATAATAAAATTTGTTTATATTAATTAAAATTTGTTTAGATAGTACAAAATTAAATAATTTGATTAGTTAATTTATATAAATTTAGGAAAGTAGTGACTTAGTAAAGTGGATAAGTTGTCAACCCTTTAAGTGTTAAGTAGTGAGTTCAAATTTCATCAATAACAAAAATTTAGATAATTATCTATGTAATATATAGATAGTATTATAGCAATGGCATTCTGTCAATTAGTTAGAATAAGATACATATAACATGGTCATATCAGCATAACTAACAGGTTATAGGGCATTTGCACAATGTTGAAGTTAAACAAAGAAATACAAACCAGCATCAGGCAGTGCAAACACAAGATAATTCCTTGTGGTTGTGTAAACTTGTAAACTAAGAAGCTAGAGCCCACTTGAGAAGATCTGAGTAAAGAGGTAACACAGATATTTAACAGTACTATTGTAAAGACTAGACCTAGAAAATGGATACCAATGTAAAAAGAATTAGCAAGTAAAAACCTTAGATGAGAGGTACTATCAATTAGACTATCAAAAATCTCAAACCAAAGGAAAAGAACCTTGAGGTTAGACTCTGAGGTACTAAAGACAAGTCATAGTTCTATCAGGCTATCTGGATTAAAAGTTTAAGATCAGAAGCAGAAGTATACTACAAGTATTAGAGATATGCTATAAAGTCAGTACTGAAGTCTGAATGAACTTTACAAAAGTAAGCCTTATTAGTAAAGATTAAATATGAATAGTTAGTTAGCAAAAAGGTCCTCTGAAGTCCTATAATCAGATAATGTACTCTGAAATGTATAATGGCTTGACAGATGTATAGACAGAGAGGTCAAGATTAGGTTAGACAACATCTAATTAGGTATACAGGAACTTGTATACTATTTGTTAGTATAATATAAGGATAACCTTGTACAAGTTATATAATTATAATTGAATTCACAATAAAGACAGTAGCTGCTAATAACTAATAGCCTTAGCAAAAGCAAAAAAAAAAAAAATTTATATAAATCTATAAGTTAATTTATTATATAATTTTATAATCTAATGTTTAAAAATTCATATTTTAATAAGTTATAAAATTAAAAAAATCTACTTTATAACTTTTATATAAAGATTAAAAATTATTTATTTAATATATTTTTCAAAAATTAAATATACTTGCAAAAATTTGCAACTAATTATATATAAAAATAATTAATATTGTACTTTATCTATTTTTAGTATTACAATTCTTCTGTATAACAGTTTTTGTTAAGTTTCATTAATATTTTTTTCTAATAAACTATTCATTTATATTAACAAAACTATTAATATTGAACTGATTTTTTTATCAAAATTGAACCTTTTTAAATATTTGTAATAAGCAATTTGGATTGAGATGTATCTAGATAGTTTTTTTATAACAATATTATAAGAACAATATATATATTATTGCAGTTTTAATAAATTTGCCTCTTGAATTTATAACTTATACAGAAAGATCTTTAAAATTTCAGGTCAAAAAGCCAATTTTGTCTAAAATTGCTAAAAATTTTACTAATAAAACCATAACTATTCTTTAAGTAAAAATATTCAGCTAATAATTTTGATTATAGATTATGAACTTATACAAGAAGGTCTTTAAAATTTTAAGTCAAAACTATCAAATTTAGTCTAACATTTATTTAGCATTTAGTCTGTTTCAAATCATTTATTATTTGAGTTAGATGGAAATCTGACTGAGTAGGCGGAAAAAGAAGAAATAACAATTTTAATACAAATTAACTATTTCTGGGCCAAAAATTATCAGCTGGCAGCTTTACTTAATGAGTGAGCTATGGTTTCATTAGTAAAACTTTTAGTGATCTTGGGCAAAATTAGTTAATTCCGGCCCTGCCGATCATGATTCCGAAGTATTCCGACCCGGAATTTTGGGGATCTCCCTGTATGAGTTTAGATTATGCTAATTAGTTTTACTAAATGCCGGCCTAGCTTCGATGCCTTCCGACCCGGAATTTTGGAAATCTTCTTATATGTGTTATTTTACTAACAAGACAGAAATTGCCTTATGTCAGAGAAAATCGGTTTCCGATCCCAAAATTTCAGGATATCGTGTAACAAACCAGTGAAAACAGTGAAAAAAATGAAATCCTAAATAGCGCCAATTTTACTATGCTAATAAACTTCCGCATCTAAGTAAAAATGTTCAACATGAAAACTTACGTATAGAACTTATTCTTTCATATCGGATATATTAAGAATACTAAGACACTCCAATCTAAGTATTTTGATCGGAAAGGTCCGATTTTCGCTTGACGTAAGGGAATCCGACTGGGATGGATCGGGAAGATCAGCATTTAAATAAATCCCATAAAATTTAATTTTTGCTAAATTCCATTTGCACAAGTCGTACGTACATTTTCTTTACTTCATTCGGTAGGAAACTTTACCTGTCAGTAGCATAGCTACTGCAGATAATTTTTTCTAACATGATGAATTATTGGGCGTACAACTTTTCTGAACTGAAAATGATTAATGAAAGCCCTGGCGTGCAACAGCCGTTTCTGAGATTTATGAATGAAGTATTTATAGAGACTACATATTAATTTATAAAAAGATATTTTAGAAAAATGCGTATAACAAATTACTTCAGACTTAAACCTTTATTGGCATGTATTAGCATGTATTAACATTCGGAATTTAAATTTTAAAAATTAAAAATTAAGAATAGAGATTTGACATATACTTTTACAGATAAATAAACCACCCAAAATATCTATTATATGGTTATTTAAACCAACTTTAAATATTGATTATGAAAAGTAATAAAGACGAGAAATAGTAAATATTAAGTAAACAGAATAAAAGACCATATGAAATTGGTATAAATTATTTCTGAAGCGTAGTTGCACTATTTTTTTTTTTTATACTCTTGTTAGCATTGAAAAACTCACGGACTTACACCACCAAATTGAGATGCATTATCTGAAAGACCTGCATCGATATCGAACCCTATTCCTTTTGAACGTCTTTTTCTATTCCATGCTCCGTCACCGTACATTGTATCCCATTTTCTCAGCTCAGTCAAACTTGACATATCTTCTGAACAAGAAGGTGTTACTTGTTTAAGTGCAAGCTGAAAATGATGAGTTTTCAACACTCTGATCTCTGGATGTTTGTCAAGGGTCTTTTTCGTAATCCCTTTGACAAGTGTGCTAGAATTAGCTTGTTCTTTTTCTGCATCCTCGCGGACGGCGGCGAGAGCAGCACTAACACATAAATTTTTTAAATCTGACCCAGAGTAAAGGTTGGTTATTTTCGCTAAGCTTGCCAATGATATCGACGGATCAAGTTTCTCGTCACGAAGATGTAAGTGAAGGATGTGTTCACGATCCTTCTCAGTAGGTAGATCAACTGTTCGTATCATAAGGATTTGTTAATCTCAAAATGTTGTGCAAGGCAGTGTTGGCCAAAGACTTTTATGTCTTTTTTAAATAGTATAACCATATAACTTTATGTCATTTTAAATACTTTTAAATTATTTAAAAAATCAAATTTTTATACATTAAAAAGCCATAAAATCATATGAATATTATACCAAATGACTGGCGATGAAATCTTATATAATTGGCCAATATTGATTCAAATTCTTGAAAATATGTAATACCTAATATCCTCCTTGGCACTCTCCTTAAAATGGCATCATCCAAGTCAAATGGTCGATTGGTTGCACCCATAATCAGTACACCTTCATTACGGGACGTTAAACCATCCCACTCTGCCATAAATTGGTTGATGATCTCTCTATGTGCCCCGTTGTGTATGTCTGATCTCCTGGACCCAAATATCGCATCAAGCTCATCTAAAAATATCACACATGGTGATAGCTTACGGGCAAGAGAAAATATTGCCTATTAACAAGAATAAGTCATGTGAACATTACTTAATTATAAGTGTGTAATATGCTCATAGACGTATCGTAACATATATCCATACCCGAACATTTTTCTCACCTTCACCAACATACATATCGTATACATCGCTGGATTTAATTTCGATAACAGTGCTACCGCTTTCTTTAGCAACGGCTTTCGCCAACATAGTTTTACCAGTTCCAGGTGGCCCAAACAGTAATACACCAGTTATAAAATGCCTTTTCAAGACTCCATAAGAGAATGTTTGTGGTCGCATTAAAGGTAAGGTAATCAACGTTTGAAGAGTTTGAACAGTAGATTCCGCAACATGTATGTCAGAAAATCCTACATAAATATTCTCTGCGTTTAATGTAGCAACATTTGATGTTAGCGCGTCCTTACCTATCAAGAAATTTCATTAGATTCTTAACAAATTACCTGGATCTACCACGCAACCTAAAAGTTTTTTTTCATATTTATCAAGGTCCTCTTTTCTCATGTTTTTTCGGTTTGATAAATTTATTTTACCATCCCCAATACCTACAATACTTACTAGCTTTTCGGGACCTTTGTTCGTTACGTCATTATTAGATGAAGCTGACTCAACAAAGTCTTTCCGTAGCTTTTGATTTGCTCTTAAAGTATTTGACGCCAAAATAAAATGTTCAACTTCCAAATATATTTGATCATTTAATGTTGATAAATCCTGTCTTTCAAGAGATATTCCAATAGCATTCATCACGAGTCGATGAACACGCTCAAATCCCCATACTTCATTATCCAAACCATCCAGTTGTGCAAGAAGACATCCCAGTTCTTTAATATCGTTGACTTTGAAATAAGCACCCTTGCTAGCGCATACAGCTTTTAAAGTACGTACGTTAATATGTCTTATAGCGACATTCTTATCCTCTGCAATCATGGTTTGCAGATGTTGAGCCAATACAGGTGACGACGGGGGAGGTATGGCTATATGAGTAAAGGCAGCCAACATTGCAGGATTCGGAACTATGTCAACGCTGACCCATTGAATTTCATGTGATGGTATGCAGTTATTTGAGGGACTTAATGATGACTTCTTTTCTATAGCAAACAATGATGGAGAATATCCAGCAATTATCATCATTTGATCACCTAAATATCGTTGGTTTTGTACTGCTTCAACAAGGCTATTAATCAATGCGCTGCCAAAAGTAGTTGGAACTAAATCCCCAACATCACGGAAATATATGATTTTTGGTGTTGATGACATGTTTTTCGATGAATTAACATTATCAGAAAAAGGTGTAGAAACTAATGCCTCAAAAAATCGGTCTATTTTATCAAGGATAATTTTCATCTCTGCGCGTAAAGAACCGTTTGTTTGAGATGAACTATATTGAAAATTGTCAGCCAAAGTTTTATTTTCATAACCAGAATTGCGAGACGACGGTGATTCGAAGCCTTCCTCTTCCATGAAAACATCATCATCTATTTCATCGTCTGAAGAAAAGGAAGAAGTTGTGGAATATGGTGATGCGGCAATATATGGATTAAAGCCCTTAAGTTCCGGAAATAGTGGCCACGGTGTTACTATAAATTCATTAAATAATTGAACATGAAAATATCTATGCTATATGGGCTAGGTGCTGGAAAAAGGAACCAAATTGACAAATTTTCAAACCAATTTTTTTATGCTTAATTTAAAATTAGCTCAGAAACATTTTTCACCTAAGAAATACTGTTGCATTAATAAAATTTTACCGTATAATCTTTTGAAATATGTATTTTTCTGAGTTAATATAGATTTTATAATATAAAAATCAATTTTCCGTAAACCCTATTTTTTGTCAATTTGGTCCCTTTTCCCAGCACCTAGCCTATACGATTAAATGTTTTAGAACAAGATAAATAAGCCTCACCATTACCCTTCCTCGAAAACATACTCGCAGTCAATTCCATCAAATCTTGCCGATCAAAAGTCAATAAATCGGCATGTAAAGATGCGGCAACACTTTTCACAATGGAATCCAAATAATATGATGCACCCTCAATCGGACAATTTAACAATAAATGACCACGCCGTGCAGGTATGCCATTGCCTTTTGGAACAGAAAAAAGATTTGCACGCGCACTATACAAAATTTCATCACGTATCCCATCTTCCAAGGGGTAACTCATTGACGCAAAAGAATGTTTATTATTTTTAATTGGCAAGTAATTTTCTTTCAAAAACAATTGAGGTATCACTGGTTTGTAAGAGTTTGATGGCTTTGACACGCGTGTACGAGAACGAGTAATAGAACGTTTTCGTCTCGTTGGTGAACGTAAAATGTATTCAGCTACATGTTCAGTCGCATTATTGTCTGAAGATGGCTGAGACTGACTTTCCTCGGGAGGCTGATTACTTTCAGTTTCCTCGTTGGCAGCTGCTGAAGGTGGTGTTTCCTTCGCAGTATTTGAAGTAGCTAAATTGTTTTTATTGTTATCTATTGTTGGTTTTAAGGGAGAATTCTTACCAGTAGGCAAATCACTCGACGAGGACGAGTTTGCGAAAGGTCTAGTAATGGTACTATGGAAAGAACGAATTTTTATAACATGTTTGCAGGGTTTAAAAAGGTAAATAGTTCTGTGATTGGAAAGCACTAGCGTACGTTCGAATACTCTCGCTGTTGCTGTTAAATTTCCCAACATGATTTGGTCAACGAAAGTACCAGTTTTATAATAGATATAAAGTGTGAGATTAAGATTAAATCTTATTATAAAAGTGAGAAATCATGGGTATGAAACTATAGATTGTATTGTATCACCGAAACAAACTTATTATTATTACCAATCGTTTTTTTCATTTTCATGTTTTTCGAGCTCTGTTGCTTCTTATATATATGTATCGGTGAAAAATATCAAAATTTTTTTTGTTCTCAAAAACTTTTAAGGTTCTCAAAAAACTTTTAATGTTTTCAATTATTATTTTATAAATTTTACAATAACACCAGTGGTGTTCAACACCATATAAGTTTTTCTAATAAAATTTAGGGTTAGAAGACCTAAACTATCCCTTACTCTGTAAGCCGAATTGCCGGTACGTAGATATCCAATCATCTTCGCCTCCCTAATCATCGTTATGCATAAAACGTAAGTAACTGGAAAAAATTTTAATACAATTTTATTAAAGCAAAAACTATTAATATACGTTTTTAATATTAATGGTGAGATCATGCCTCTATCTTTATTGAATATTTAATTGAGATCTTATATAAAGTACAAATCTATTTTGTTTGAAATATTATAGAAAGAATAGAAGTTCAGATTAGTTTATCTGCGGTCTAAATTAATTGGAGTGGTCAAGACTCATCTAGATTTGGATGTTAGTAATTATATGTGTTAGTTTGATATTTAATTCATTAAAATTTGTTGATTAAAATGAAGTAAGAACTTAATAACAAGTGTTGTGGTTATTTTTTTTGATAATAAACTTAAAACAGTAGCAAATAAGTTTATTTGGTATTAAACTTATTAGTATTAAGAAAACTGAGAATATATTAGGTATATTATAAATAAATATGTTATTAAGTAGTTTAATTTGATGATGTAAGTTAATTATAATATTATGTGTAATATCAAGAATAGTTGAGTTTAAAGTATGTTGTAATAAAATATCTATGATTAAATAAAGTTTAGTTAAATAGACAAATTGTTTAGTAAAGGTATAAGCTAATTTGATAGCATTGATAATAAATAGGCAAACAAAAATGATAATATTTATATAAGATATATAGAATAAGTTTATTTTAATAGAATTTTAACTTGAAAGATGGTAATCCTAGTGTAGTGGTTGGGTTGTTATTCTTTAAGTAACAGGTTTAAGGTTCAAATCTCACTTATAATGAAATTTGAAAATTATATCAGCATTATAGTAACTGTCTTCTGTTAATCAGTTGGCCTTATATGGCTGTAACCTAGGTACACCAAGTTAGGTTCTACTAACATTGGGAGCTCAGGCATCTATACAAAATGTAATGTTACATATATATAAAGAAATGTATAACTAGTGTTGTATAAGACTTCAGTGCAAACCTACAATAAAACTATCGAGTATAGAAGACTAAAGAACTAAGGTAACAGAAACCTACTTGAAAATTTCCAAGTAAAAAGATAGCATGAACTTTCAATAGTATCATCAGACTGGTTGAAGCCTATGAAACACCTTTATAGAAACTGAAAGTTAAAACTGAATATCTAATATATATAGAGGAGTATATAACCAACCAGACTGCCAGATTTATCAGAAGAAAAGAATACAAAAGTATATTATATCAGGTCATCTGGATTGGTAGTCTGGAATAAGACTGATAGTTCTAAGTTGTGACTAGTAGAAGATAATAGAAAAGATGCTAGAAAGATAGATACTGAGGTTTTAGTGAACTTTACAAGAGTAAAAATAGTGTAATGTAGTAGTTAATCAGATAACCTTTATGACTGCAAGTATTAGGTAACTATAGCATATTGCATAAAACTAGGTTTATATGTATGGAACATAAAGGCTCTAGTAAGTTTTCTGTCAAGAATAAATTAGTCTTAAGGGTAACAACAAGCATCAAGAACTTGGATAGGTGTAGTCTTGAGATGTTCTTATAATACAAGAAGGATTGCATATGCAAAGAGTTTAAATAGATAAGACCTCTAGTTAGCTTACAGGTATAGCAACTAGTATAGAACTTATATAGCAATGTATAAGCAGACTACTTAAATTAGGCACCAAAAGTACATATATGGCTAGTTGTAACTTCCAATGTAAGGTAAGCCTCTGATGGCATGCCATGTTATAATATACTTAAATAAAAACATTGCATCTCCAAGATAGGGACTTTAACTATAAAAAAAATAAAAATAAAAATAAAATTTCAACTCTAAAAGAATAAAGTATAAAAAACTAAAAACTATATAAAAAGTTTGAAGTTTTTTAATTGTTATTAATATATAGTTAAGTAACATGTCAATTAACTTGATTAAAAATTTTATGTTATTTTTAAGAGTAGTTTTGTGTTATTTAAAATATATAAATATATATATAACATATTGCAACAAATAAGTAACTCTAAAAGAAAATTTTTAAAAGTTAAAATATAAGTTAAATTATAAATATTATAAGATATAAAAATAAAATATAACAAGTTGTAGTAATTATATGCTAGTTGGTCTACAAGATTATTGTATTTGTTATTTTTTTATTTTATTTTTTTAAGCAGTTACATTAGTGCTTTATTAAGATTTTTGAAACTACTACTGTAATTATATAAATTTATCTAACAACTAAGCCTAGCATCACCTGGCTACCCTAACGGTACCTAAGTGCAACCTGTCATATTACTTCTAGCAAAAGTAAGCTGCTTGTCTAACTACTTAAAGTCCATAATGAAAAGGTCTTCTCTTTTTCATAACAAGCTTGTTAATTGTCTTCCTAACTTCTTTTTTTATTCACTTTTCTTTTTTTTTTGTTTTTCTCTTCCTTTCTTTTATTACTTGCTGATTAGCCTTTCTTTTCTTCTTTATGCTTGACTTTCCTTTTTCCTTTAGTCTTCTTTTTTTCTCTTTACTTGTTATTCCTTCTTCTTTTTTCCATGCATTGACCTTTTCGTAACAAATTCTTCAAACTTGTTCGTAAAATGTATTCTATATTGTTTCTGCCAATATTCAAAATTTGAAATAACCTGTCTTGCATTGTTCTTAGGATTAGGCCTTTGATCAGTGCTTTCTTTATTTCTATTTCTTCTCACTCTGTTTGTCCAAAAAGTGCCGTATATAATACTTGAGATGGAACTCGTATTTTTTCTTCTTCTTTTAAGCTGTTCTATGCTGTCATGATAGATACTTTCTGTATCCTTTTCCATAAATTTGCTTGTCCCTTACATAATGCCAAGTGTTCTTGTGTTTCTTTAACTTTGCTTTGGCAAACTTGGCATTCAGCTGTTATATATATATCTGGCCTTCTTCTATTAAGTTCTTCTAGTGTTGGAAGTTTGTCCAAAATACATTTCATGAAAGCACTTCTTCTTGTACTGCTTCTTCTTGTTAGGCAGTATACTCCTTTAGATAAATCTAGCCTTTTCCAAAAGTACGTCCAATTATATATCATTAGTTCTTCTTCTGGCTCAATATTTTTGATCGCTATTGTTTCTTTCTACTCTACTTCCAGTCTGATGTTTGTTACTATTTTACATAGAAGTCTTGCAGGCATGTCCATCTGCTTGTTTTCCCATTCTAGGCAGTACTCTATTTCTTCATGGCTGACTTCTTCTGAAAAAATTATTTTTTTGCTTAGTGTTCTCTTTTTCACAAGGCTATCAGCTTTATTATTCTATCTATTTTTACTATGACTTTTAACTTTGATCTACTCTATCTGTATGTTCTTTGTTTTCACTATATCTATTATCTTCAATACCCATAGTGCATTTTTCTTTTTAAGAACTTCATTTCTATCTATATACGCTAATCCTTTACTGATGTTTCTAATTGCTGCATTGCTATCTGTAAATATTACTAATTT